CACTGCTCACGAATCCAGCAGTGGATCAAAGTCTGACCATAAGGTCTTTAAAACAAATCAAAACTCTATCTCCCCCATCTTCCCAGCCATCCTACAAGTGTTCATGGTACTGCTGCTTCTGAGCTTACCTGGCCTATAGCTGTATTCTAAAATCCATTACAATATTATGAAATGTTACCAGATTAAGAATTTACAGGCTTCCAAGAGTCCAACCTCTGTTTCCCACCTGGTTTAGAAACTTGGATGCTTGAGGATTGTCAGCCACATGGCTCATGCGCTTATGTGAGCGTGTGACGAGTAATATACACAGTTCAAGGCAGGGATCCACTATCAATCACTGTTACGCTCTCCACAGACATGACTAGGCTATCTGGGTTTGAAGAATTACACCAGGGAAGATGAAAATGAGAGAAGACAATGGAGGACACCCGGCCCCTGACTGAGGATATGGGACATGTGATGCTTCTTTATCCTTCCAATGAACGTTGTCGCAAAAAGTACAGAAATTCTGTCTCACTGAGAATGAGTCACCGAAAATGGGTTCAGCTTATTGCACCCAGCATGTTAAAGAACCGATTGCTATCAGCAGCGACCATTTAAAATGAAGAAAAAGGTATTTTGATCCAAGCCCTATTTGGTGTAAATGACAAATCAACATTTATCTGCGTTACTCTTATACAGAATTATAAGATTTACCCGGTGCCGTTTGGGGCCCTGAACTCAATTTTTGTGTTTTGGAAAGTAAAAGGATGGGGTGGGGCTGAAGGGTGCAGTGTGCAGGCTGCCCCAGGCCCCTCACTGCAGCAGCTTGGGGATAGGGATGTTAAAATTAATCAACTAATTGAATAGTTGATGGAATTTCCATCGACTATTCGATTAGTCGATAAAGGTGCTTCCGCTTTGAAATGTAGCAAGAGCCCCAGAGGCAAAGGCCAAATTTGCACACCCCCTGCCACCGCTGAGTGGCGGGGTCCCAAACCTGGCGCACAGCTGAGCCTGACTCTGGGGTGGGGTGGGGGGGGAGCTTGTACTGGGTCTTCCCCACCCTCTCCAGTTTGGGGCCAGGCCCTGCATGTACTAACCCACCAGCGGAGATGGAGGACCATCAGGCTGGGGGCAGAGAGGCGGGGAGGAAGCTCCAGCAGGCAGCAGCAAGTGGCGTAAGAGAAGGTGAGCTGAGGGTTGACAGGGAGAATGGAGGGGGACTAAATTGGTGCCCCCCCCAACATGGCACCTGGGGCAACTGCCCTGCCTCACTATGCCACTGAAGAGCCCACTGGGCTGTTGCTATATTTCAAAGGTTGAACCCCGCTGCTGTGCCCTTGCCCCCTCCCATGGAGCTGGGGGGAACTGGCTTTTAAGTTCCTCTTCCCCTCCCTCCCCTTGCTGCCTCTTTCTGATAGAGGCAGCAAGCGGGGAGAAGCGACTAGTCGACTAGTGATAAGCTTTTTCATGCCTAGTCACTTACATCCCCAGCTTGGAGCCAGGCCTCCAGTAGGCACAGCTGGGGATGGGCGCATGTCCCCCAGCTGGGACAGGTCCAGGTTTGTCTGCCCCCAGAGCTCCCCAGCCAAAGTGATGAATGCAGCAAACTTTGCACTTTCCCCTGGGGGAACAGCCAGCAATATTCTTGTAAGAATCGGCAGGGGGAGGGAGTAGCCACGTTCCCTCTCTCTCCCCAGGGCACCTGGGGAATGGGAAGCTTGGGGCTGGAGTGTCTTGGACAGGGGGCAGTCAGCCCCCTTCACCTGACTGGTGATACTCTTCTGTAGTTTTATAAGAAGCAATCCCATTCCAGGTACATCCCATTGTCTTGGCACAACCAACCCCTGACCTTGCTTTAAGTTATGATAGGAGGAAGCTGCATTCCAAATGTGTGGTCTTCTTTCTTAAAATTTAAGAGTCCTCAGACAGACTCATTCAGATAAACTCTCAGATATATAGTAGATACAGTAACCAGGTGGGCACCAAGATCTCATGAGATTCCAAGAAGAATGATTTTGTGGTTAAACCATCCAGAGCAGCACAAGATTTCATTTCTATTCCCAATTCTGCTACACATGACCTGTGCGTGATTTTGGGCAGGTTACTTAATGGCCATGCTTCAGTTTCCCTATCTGTGAAATAGACATACTGCTTCCCTAAATAAGACCCCTGGGAAGCTCCTTGACCATAAGTATGATGCACTTTTAGCTCCTAGAATGGCTGTTCCGATGAAAGATGTAAAGTTCTATTTCCATAATGCAAATTTGCAAAAAGGTGTCTCTTAATGCCTTTGAAACTAAGTCAGGAAGGCTACACACCAGCCCAAATGCTTCATTAAAATATTTCTGTCTGGAAGAATTCCTTCCTTCCTGACGCTTTGTTCACAACGCTAGTTAGTGGTGTGGAATCTTTCACAGGGTGCTGATCTGCATTGAACAAGCCTGTCTCAAAACACAATGTCTGTGACACAAAATGTGCTACTTTATAGATGTGAACTCTCCTGCTTTCATTGTACTTAAATCTGAGATGAACATCAGGAGCCAGAATACTCAGCCATGCTTGAATCTTCTCTCTCAAAATTAAAGTGTCACTGCATTCAAAAGGAGTGCAAAAGTCCCCTGGTGTTTAAAAGGACACTGTCAATTTCAGTTATTTAAAGTTGACATTTAAAAAACCTGCCAGCTTCTGACAGCACAATCTTAGAGTGCCCTGAAGCTTTTACAAATATTTGTATTAAGGTAATTGTATATGGGGTTTTCTGCTACCTTGCTGATCCATAAGAGTGAGAAGTGATTCTGAATCTATGCAGAATAGTAATAGAAATGTAGCTGTGTTAGTCTGGTGTAGCTGAAGCAAAATGCAGGACTATGTAGCACTTTAAAGACTAACAAGATGGTTTATTAGATGATGAGCTTTCGTGGGCCAGACCCACTTCCTCAGATCAAATAGTGGAAGAAAATAGTCACAACCATATATACCAAAGGATACAATTAAAAAAAATGAACACATATGAAAAGGACAAATCACATTTCAGAACAGAAGGGGGATGCAGGGGGGGGAAGGAAGGAAGGTAAGTGTCTGTGAATTAATGATATTAATGATATGATATTCCCCACCTCTAATATCATTAATTCACAGACACTTACCTTCCTTCCTTCCCCCCCCTGCATCCCCCTTCTGTTCTGAAATGTGATTTGTCCTTTTCATATGTGTTCATTTTTTTTAATTGTATCCTTTGGTATATATGGTTGTGACTATTTTCTTCCACTGTTTGATCTGAGGAAGTGGGTCTGGCCCACGAAAGCTCATAATCTAATAAACCATCTTGTTAGTCTTTAAAGTGCTACATAGTCCTGCATTTTGAATCTATGCAGTTATTCTCAAAAAATGCACAACATAAACTAACAACCAAGAATATTTTTTTGCTAGCTTTTTCAGTTTTTATACTTTTAGATTTTTTTTAAAACTATAGTACAGATAAAACATTCAGGCTGTGTCTAGACTGGCCAGTTTTTCCGGAAAATCAGCCGCTTTTCCGGAAAAACTTGCCAGCTGTCTACACTGGTCGCTTGAATTTCCACAAAAGCACTGACTTCCTACTGTAAGAAATCAGTGCTTTTTGCAGAAATACTATGCTGCTCCTGTTTGGGCAAAAGTCCCTTTTGAGCAAAACTTTTGCGCAAAAGGGCCAGTGTAGACAGCTCAGATTTGTTTTGCGCAAAAAAGCCCCGATTGCAAAAATGGCGATCGAGGCTTTTTTGTGGAAAAGCGTGTCTAGATTGGCACAGACGCTTTTCCGCAAAAAGTGCTTTTGCGGAAAAGCATCCGTGCCAATCTAGATGCTCTATTCCGAAATACTTTTAACGGAAAACTTTTCAGTTAAAAGCATTTCTGGAAAATCATGCCAATCTAGATGTAGCCTCAGAGAGAAGGGATTTTCAAATCTTTCAAGCCTCTAAGGTTATGTCTACACTGAGAAATTATTTCAAAATAATTCCTGAAATAATAATTTCAAAATAAGTGTTATTCCTCCTAACACGCAGGAGTTATTTCAAAATAACAAGCTAATTATTTAAAAATAATTTTTAAATAATGGGCTTGCTGTGTGGACCCTTGCCTTGTCATTTCAAAATAAGGGGAGTAATTTTGAAATAACTCCCCAGTATAGACATGCCCTAAGTGTGCACTAAATCAAACTCCCACAAATCTACACACTGTCAAACAAATCTAAGTAATAAATGAGGAGCTGTTAGTGTAATTTGATTTTTTTTTTAAAGTAAAATACGGCTCCTTGTTATATACCGGCATCAAGCCTACCTAACACAGATAATGTAATTCCAACAGGGAACACACCAATCTCCTTCTGATAACTTTACATAGACAATGTAACTTACAGATACATATACAATAGTCTGTTATCAAGTGAAAACCTAAATGCAGCATATACTAAGCTGACATCATTCTCTGAACTCAGAAACCAAATAAATCCTGCTCTCAAAATATTCTATTTCTAAAAACATTGTTGGAGGAAATATTTGGTATATTCCTCCTGCAATTAGCAGCAGGCCGCAAATGCGGAAAAAGTGACTGGACGTGTATAAACATAGAGCCACATCCTGGAGCATCCTGCGACCACTTTGCACTGCACCATTGGTGGTGACACCTGTGTTCCCAGTCCAAGAGATCTGCCTGTGGCATAGACCTTCCCCTTCCTTCTTGAGGGGAAGCACCTACCCAGCCCTGATCTTGAGCTCCCATTTGAGCCTGGCAGACCTTTGGACCGGCCCAACATATAGTGGGCCCTTCAGTGGGGGAGGGCCAAGGAGAACTTTGATCTTACACACCATCCCCTCCCCAGACTTCCACTGTGTGCTTTCTGACCCTTGTTGAGCATCTGCCCCATTACACTGTACTTAAAATGTATTCCTCTCATCATAGCCTAAAGTGCTATACATTTCAGTGTTAATTCTTTATCCAGTGACTTTATTTTTGATAACACAAGAACATCCAGATTCTTCCAATTTGGTTACTGTTTTATTTACGTTTTGTTACAATCACTGTGCCCAAATATAATCCCCTGTCAAAAATCGTAATTATTATGACCCTGCTTTATCTTAGGAGAAACAGCACTTTTCCTCTTCAGTAAAGAGGCACAGGAGTTCTTAAGTCAAAGCAATAAAACTTACTGCAGGTTCAACCTTTGTGTGAGGTAAAGAGGATTCCTCCCTTTCAATAGCATTATAAATAAATATGGCTGTTTGAATCTGGCAGAGAATAAACAGACCCAAACGCAGGGGTGCTGGAACAATTTGTAGAAAGCCATTGAACTAAACTGTAAAGGCTATGTATGATGGAAACCACTTCAAGCCTGAGGGAGCTGAAGCATCCCTGGTTCCAGCACCTATGGCCTGATAAAACTTAAAACAATGAATAGTCCTGCAGCACTTTAGACACTAACAAAAAAATGTAGATGGTATCGTGAGCTTTCGTGGGCACAGCCCACTGCTTCAGATGAATGGAGTTAAGGGAGTCCAGGTTGCAAGAGAAAGAGAGGGGATGGGGAAGGAAAGAGAAGAAAAAAATGGGGAAAAATATTGTCAATTAGTGTCCATTGTAAATGAAGCAGCTAGAGACGGTTCTAAGTATTCTTAAGTACCCAGTATTTGGTTTTTTCTGTCATTAGGATATGGAATGGAGCAGGTCATCCAGTTAAGGTCTTTGTTTAAACCTCATTTAGCATGGACACTATTTTTTTTTCCTTCTCTTCCCCTCCCCATCCCCTCTCTTTCTCTGCTATTTATTGGTACCCTGGACCCCTTAACTCCAGTCATCTGAAGAAGTGGGTTGTGCCCACAAAAGCTCATGATCTCATCAACATTTTTTTGTTAGTCTCTAGGGTGCTGCGGGACTGTTTGTTGCTTTTTAAGTGTTTTTAGTTGCAGACTAACTCAGCTACCCCTCTGAAATTTATGGCCTGAAAGTCTCCGTACTAAAGTTTTCATTCCTTTTAAATAAAGTTTTTCTTGGACCCTTGATTAAAACATGTCCTTGCAGAACTGTTCACATTCTTCTTCAACATCCCCAGGGCAAGACTGGCAGCTCCCTTTTTCAGCCATTCATTACTCAAAGAAACAAAACAACAAGAATAAATGGAAAGGGGGTAATGCAACTGGACTATATCCAAAAGCTCCTTGCAACCCCGATTCCAGAGTTCTGGTACAGATGCAGTAGGTTGTAGATCTCCTATCATTAAGGCACATGGTGAACATAACAGTATCTAAACCAGCTTGTTCATCCTTCTGAGTCAAACATTCTATTCCAGTAGTACAGGAAGGCCGGTGAGTTGCTGGCACCTATAACAATTAGCAGTAGTAGATACATCATCATCATTATAGCAAAACGATGATTGGAAAACCAAGACGACTGACTGGAAGGCCTGTGGAGGGGAAAAATGCATTGAAAGCATGAACTACATCAAATATGGTCTTGTCATTATTGTCTTGTATTTATTATGTTTTGTTACTTAAAAATGATCTTGCAAGTAGGGATGTAAAGTCCCGTTTAATCATGAGCTGGAGGCCCACTGTGGGCAGGGGTGCTCTGCCCGGGCTGGAGTACCTCCCCACCCATGGTGTAGTGGGCCCAGCCAGACTGGTGCAACCCCTGGCCTGTGGCAGGCTGCTATAGCCCAGCCAGGCCACAAGTTCACTGGTAAGCATCACCCAATAACGGTGATGTCAATGGTTAACCTGTAAGCATCCCTACTTGCAAGTTTTGATAATGATTTTACTAGCTGTTATGATTGCTCCTTTATTTGCTTTGGGATTCCTTTTTGCTTCCTGTAATGGAAGCATGACTTGTATTTGTATTTGTTTTTGTGAGAGACAGAGAGAGAGAGAGAAAGATGCAAATAGACCATGCTCATCATATTGGTGAGTTGAACTCTTACCTCCGGTTTTGTTTCTGTGAATATACTAATAAGTATTTAACACGTAAAAGCTGATTGTTTGTAACAACGAAGTATTTCTGTGGAACGTCCCCACCTTCACTGTTTTTTACTCTTGCTCTCTTTCTGTCTATTTCTTCTGAATCTGTATGGGACAAGAAGAAGTTTTCTTGGAAATGGGAAGGAAAACAAAAGCACGTGTGTGACAGTAAAGGAAGATGGTCAAGGCACAATACTTGGAGTTAGGAGACAGGGTTTTATTCCTGGCTCTACATCAAATTTCATTAGTTCCTTTTAGCATCCCAAAGGGGATTCAGAATTGTTTTACAGCTACATCAGCTCCTCCTTATCCCTGGCTTGGGGGTACTGTGGGTCAGGCTGGGAGAGAAGGAGCACATTAAGAGATAGGAGAGAGCAGGCCTAGAGCACAATGCTTGAGGGATTGCAAGCATCAGAAAGGATAGAAGAATAATGCAACACAATTTAGAACTGTGGGGAAAAAGTCTGAAATGTAACTGTTGGAATATAGCCTTGTCAGGCCTCTGACATGTATAAACACAGAGTGCATATTACTCTAACTGTTTCAGGACTACCTTGGCTTGGGTTCACTTCTAGGACAAATGAAATGGCTCTGCATTACAGAACATGTTTTATTGTACTGACGCTAGCTAAAAACAAAATAAAATGCTATGTTGGTTTCTATGCTGATCTAGCTGAGTCCCGCTACTAGAATGATCACGTTTTATTGTTTCCTTTTTTAGGGAAAGCTTTTGTGGATTTGCTAATAGGTCATCCAGAAAGTACCTCTAGGTCAGTTTCTACAGGATGGAAACAAATGTATACACGTGAATACATTCTCAGCTGTATTACTGGACATCTATACAACCTAAGACCTGAGGAGTACTAACAGAAGATTGATTAACTAACACTCTAGTTGTAATTTCTATACTCACCTTTCTTCTTTACTTGGCATTTTACATCTGGATGATCGATAATCTCACAAACAGCTACACAGCTAAGGACAGGGCCCAAAACACTGCGCTGCCACCCAAGACCATGAGGGCTATAAAGAAGAGCAAGGCTTAGATCGCTGGTAAGGTAGGTACCTTCACCAAACAAGGATGTCTGAAATAGCACAAAGGTAAATCAAGACAGACTGCATGAGATCAAACACTCTGAATGTCCATATAGAATAGTAACACAGCAGACGAAAACATTGTCCTTCCCAAATGCTAGCACCCCGTTTCCAAAAGTAGTGTGGCACTCAAACACGGCAGTGAAATCTGAAGTCTCTGATCTTAAACTCCTTATTGCTGGACTACACACAGATTTTATCAGTGTAACTATTTCAGTCAGGGGTGTGACTATTTTTTAAAACTGATTAAGTTATACCCATAGAAGCACTTTTAAACCACACTAAGGAGATTGTACATCTTCAACTATACTCATATATTTAAAGTGCCACAAATTGACAAGGCCATAATTACATTTAGAAATCTTCTTTGCAATGGAGAAAAATATGTTTCTGCAAGTATGCTTCTTCCAGTTGTAATTGCCTTAGTTTAAGAACATAGGATTTGTCACCCATTTAATGTAGTGCACTGACCTCCCACTGTAGTCAATGAGATAGTGGAGAAAAAATTCGAAACAAGCTATGCTCGCTGTGCTCTCCTGGGAAGGTAATTCTTTCTTGCCTCTGTGATTCTAAGGGCACATCTACACTGCAGGGCAAAAGTCAAATTAAGATATGCAACTTTGGCTATGTCAATTGCATAGCTGAAGTTGAATTCGGCTTTTGGTGCCATTTACGCAGCAGGAAGTCAAAGGATGAACACTCTTCCTTCGACTTCTCTTACCCCTCGTGAAATGAGGGTTAGAGAAGTCTGAGTAAGAAGGCCACTATCTAGAAATTATTTCAAAATAACAGCTTGATATGCAGACGTGCACTTTATTTCAAAATAAGGCTGTAGTGTAGAGGGTCCCTAAAAGTGTACGTCTTAACCCTCCTCCCCACCCATGTAAATGTTGGTGCTTATGAAAGGAAGGTAGTCAAGAGTGTGGGGATGAAATGCAAAGCAGTATGTCATGGATTCACACTTGACCCAGGCTGGTAGTGGCTACATGATAATACTGCCTAGCAGCTGCACAACAACCTATTTCAGACATGAAAAGAAGTGACAGTCCCAGCTAGCTTCTATCAAACAGGTGCGGGCATCCAACAAGTCCCGCATCTTGGTTAACAAATCTCTTGCAGATGCAAGGGACTCTCAATTGGCAGGCTGTCTCTCTCCTTTAGAGGTGATCCAGGGCTCAGGCAGAAAACTGCACAGACCATATTCTTCCTGGTCCAATGCTAGAGATTTTCTATCTCTAGGGCTGTCAAACAGGCAGCATTTTTCAGAGGCTCTAAATTAATCTCCTTTTGTTTTTGAAGTGAAGGATTGCTACAACTAGACATATTGGAGAAAGCACTATAACTAATTCCTACATTTCATACCATCTGCATTTTCTAAGCTCAAAGTGGATTATAAAAGCCAATACTGCCATATGCAAAGCACTGCATTTCCATCCAGGAAAACAAATGGCAACATGAGATCACAGATCAAAATATTTGTATCCCTCCACAAGTGTGTACATGTGTTTTAAAATAGCCCTCGCAATCTGTAACTGAAGAATGAAGCTGTGCATGTAATGCAAGAAATACTGGAAACCTTACCCTATTTAAATGGCAGTGTAAACCATTGTGCAGTATGGAATGGAAGTTTTCAAGCCGACTCCCATGGAATGCATAGATAAGGCTCCTTTCTCCCCTGGTTTCATCAAATTTGGCATTCATCTGATCACAATACACTATTTCAAACAGGAAGTCAGGGGCAGGAACAGCATCACTTGACATTCCTGTCAACTCTTGGATCTTCTCATACTTTAAAAAAAAGGAATCCAAGTGTTATTTTTAAATGGCTAGATTATTCGCTGGAATAGTGTTTCAGAGCCTTTCCTAGTTCCTTTATATATTCATTTACATGCTTTTACAATTCAGTATTAATACGCAGTTAGCTGGTAACCGTAAAAGATCAAATAGATTGTGGGAACTTTAAGTTTATTCCTCCCCCTGCCCTCAACTTCTCCTGTCCTTTTCTCCTTTGTTGCTTCTCTATGAATATTCATGATCATTGCTAAGTGGTAAGGTTATGACATCAAAGTTAAATCTCCCCCCACCTTCCTGCCCAATAATGGGACTCACATACCGGAGTTAAGTGGATGATGCAATAAGAGAGGAAAAGAAAACATCTCTTATGGTGTCATAATCCCAACACAAAAACAAGGCTATGCTATAGATATATTCATGAGAGCTGTTCCTTGGGAAAGAAAAAGATGTGGAACTAAAAGACATTTTTATCATTTGTTAGCAGCGTCTACAACTCCTGGGTACTTACAGTCTCCATTTACCCTCACAACATCCCAGTGAGGATGTAAACATTTTACAGGTGGGAATCTCAAGCCCAGAGAGACTAAGTGACCTATGCAAGATCATACAGGGAAATGGACCACAGTCTCCTGCATACCTGACTGGTCCATGACCCACTAGACCATTCTTCCTCCTCAACATGGGGTGTTTTCTAACTAGGAAAAGGTGGCATGGTCTCTGCCCTGAGGACCTCACAGTCTGAACATAAGGTAGGAATACAACATATTCAAAAGAGTAGCCTAGTGCAGCATTTCCCAAATTATGGGGAAAAAAATACCGGGCCTCAGCGTGGCTGCCGGTAAGGTAGCAAAGCGGGGCCGGGCTGGGAGGAGGTGGCGGCGGGGGGAAGGGAGAACCAGCCACCAGGAAGAAGGGTTGGAGGCAGTGGGGCTGTCTCGCGTAGATCAGGGCAGGTAGGTGGGCGGGCAGTGGAAGCAGACTTAGGGGAAGCAGGGCTGTCCTGCGGAGATCCAGGTGGGCAGGCGGCAGAAGCAGGATTGGTGGCAACGGGGCTGTCCCGCAGAGATGGGGCGGGAGGGGGCGAGTGGGCGGCAGAAGCAGGGTTGGAGGCAGCGGCGCTGTCCCGCGGAGATGGAGAGGAGGGGGACAGGCGGGCAGGTGGCGGAAGCAGGGTTGGAGGCAGTGGGGCTGTCCAGCAGAAATCGGGGAGGGCAGGCGGTGGAACCAGGGCTGGACGGGGGCGGGGGGCCTGGCCAGGGGAGAACAGGAGGAAGAAGAGAGGAGAATCAGCTGTGGGAAGCAGGGCTGGATGGGGGCAGCTGGGATGGTTGGGGGGGTCGTTGGGGGAGCAGGGCTGACTGGAGAGATGGTGGGAGGCGGGGGGAACTGGCCGCCGGAAGCAGGGCTGGACGGGGGCAGCAGGGCTTGACTGGGAGATCGGGAGGAGAAGGGGGGGCTGGGAGCGGGACTGACCTGGGCACATGCAGAGCCTACAGACCCTGGCAGAGGAGTGAGTCTGCCTGGGGATTCTATTTTGCCCTCCCACCTCCCCCACATACCCTCCCTCGAGTTATTGCGAACTGCCTGGCAGGTAGACACACTCAGGCAGCGTGACCACATCTACCAGCCAGGCACTTGGCAGCTAAGGACTGATACACCTAATTATAATAAAACTTACCTAATTAGAAAATACCGCACATTTTATATGTCTGGTATTTTCTCAATTTGTTTCCTGGACAGAACCCTCAAATACTGGACTGTCTGGTACAAAACTGGACATCTGGCAACCCTACCCCTCCTTGCACCCTCCCTCCTAGACAGCTACCCGATCCTCAGTCTGCTCCTGCTCCCACCTCCTGGAGTGCCCATGCGGCGCCGGTCCCCCAAGCCCTGGCCCAGGCTGGGCAGAGGATGCAGCCGGGTGAAAACTAAAAATTTATTCATTTTTCATTATTTTTTTTTATATGTGTTTTATATTTTTGGGGTGCAAAAAACAGTACTAAAAAAATGGGTTCCAACTAAAGTGAAAAGTTTGGGAAACCCTGATCTAGCCAGCTTTCTATCCATCTTACAGTCCATTTATCCAATCCATATTCCCTTAACTTGCTGGCAAGAATATTGTGGGTGACTGTATCAAAAGCTTTGCTAAAGCTGGCACTGGGGGCTTTGGGAGGACCAGAAACAACTTATCTGAATATTCATCATTTGCTTAATGAATATGCAAATATATATTATGGTCCTCCAAAAGCTCGTGAATGGATTTACTGGTCCCCGTGCCAATAAGTTTGGGAACCCCTGGTCTAGTGGGTTTAACCATACATTTAGCAATATATATGGGTTTTGCTAAGATGATCCTTTGGGGTTTTAATAAGAAAAATAGATATAAAAACCGTAATCACTAAGTCATTCACTCACTTTTGCTGCCCATGTTCCTTATCTATTTAGATTTGAGCTCTTTGGGGTAGGGACACTGTCTCTTCATTCAACTCTGCCAACCAGAAAATGTGTTCGCTTAACATACTTTTCAGTCCTTATAATAAACACCCTTAAATCCCAGGTCCAAGTAACCACCTATAAATGATGGCGTACGTCATGATACTTCCATAAGAATTTGAAATCTTACCTCCTTTTTCTTAGTACTTTGTATAGTTAAGAATTTAGATGATAAAATCCAGCTAAACAGATCCCATGTCCTTTTATCTGTGCCCAATGCTGACTCTGGAAGTTCTTTTAAACTTGGCAAAGCATTTGTATCTGCAAGCTAACATAAGAAAAGCAAAGGTGTTGAGTGTGATTTGCTACTCTTTGTCATCATGATTAAATAGAGACCTCTAGTGGTAAGAAAGCAACATTCACTCTACTGGGAATCCCCTTGGTACAAGTAGCAAAACAATTTCCAATAAATTACAAGAACAGTTTCTGAAAAATGTATACAGATTATGTAAGGAAATTTTTCATTTGTTCTGACACGAAATGAGTACTACATTTAAGCAAATTACATGTCATCTACAATATTGTTATTTATATTCAGCACTGGCATCCATGAGATATGCATAAGAAGTCAGTCAAAACAGCTGAATGTGGTCAGCACATCAACACAAAGGCAATATCTGGAGTGTTAAGTGAGACAGATATTGCAATCTCTTGCAATATCTTTGGGGACCATACTGTATTAAGTTTATATATCACTATGGGCCAGAAATTATAGGCAACACCAGGTAGGAGAGTTATTACCACTCCTCCAGGAATCAAACCAGTGAGGGGGGTAATTAAGGTGACTCACTTAAATTGTAAACACCTCCAGAGAGATGCCACCCTCTGAGGATGCTTATATGTACTGGTTCAAACTGGATTTTCCAGACAGCCACCAACCGGGAAAAAAAAGAGCTTCTGATATTTCACCTGTTGTACCTTTTCAAACTTTCAAATTTAGACTTGGACACTTCCAAGTCTACATTTGTCATTTGCTTTCTAAATCTGGATTCCTTAATCTGCAAAACACTTACTGCATTACACACTTGTAAAATTTTACGTACCTACTTATACTGGGAAAATATTATCATCCTTTTTTATAATCAGCTGGACAAAAGTAGGTATTTTGCTTGAGCTAGTAAATTGACATAGTTTTTCAATGCTGCTTTGACTAGTTATAGAGAAAACAATGTATTCTATATTTTTAATTGGTGTTGGTTTCCACAAAACTCTTGAATCAGGGATCTCATTTTTACGACTGTCTGTAAAAAGCCATGTATGGTTTTTTTCCATATGTAAATTATAGTACAACATAGATAATAGTATGACTGACTGCTTTTTTTCCCCTACCTTTTTTTAAATGTTACCTTCCAGGACTGTGTACATAATTATGCTGTATTCATTTGGTAGGACACATAAAGGAAAGAGGGGGAATCACTGTTTTAATGTGAAGTTCTGTGGGGGGTTCAACACTACCACATTCCTGAAAAGGTGTTTTCCTCCAGCCACCCAGAAAGAAGTTCACCTTTGGACAGAGAACATGTCTGGAAAGTTTCCATCCCAGAGGAGAGGTATTCAGAAAGTTGTGAGCTGTTATAGTAGCAGCTGCTTTGCAATTTTAACTACATGCATACATACAGTGGATATACTAACATCTTCATCTGCAGTTAAGAAAATCAAGATTTGGAGATGGGATTAGAATTATAAAAACGAGTAGTCCTGTGGCACTTTAGAGACCAATACAAATATGCATAGTATCATGCGCTTTCCTGGGCAAAACTCACTCAACAGATGAGATGGAGAGGGATAACAGGAACTCAGAATTGTAACTTGTACTACCCTCTAGCTCCCTTCTCTCTCCTAAAATACCCTCAGCTTGCACCCCACATTCTATACTGCCTTCTCATTCTGATCTCTCACCTATACTGCTCTCCCACACCCTATAAAGTCTGGGCTCCTGTTATGTCTCTCCAGCTCATCTGATGAAGTGGGTTTTGCCTACAAAAGCTCATGATACTATCTATCTATCTATCTATCTATCTATCTATCTATCTAATGTGTGTGTTAGCCTTAGAAACTATGTTTTCACTAGGAAATTATTTTGAAATAACTTAATTATTTCAGTAATTATTATTTTGAAATATTTCGAAATAGCAGGTCCCCACTACACGGAAGCCTCAAAATTAGTCCGAGGCAGGCTCCCCTAATGTGGACACGATATCTCAACTTAGAGCGCAGGAAGCACGGGGCAGTAATTACTTTGAATGACTCTGGAGAGTAGTTACAGGTTCTCCCTGTCCAGCACCCTGAGGACCTGACTAGTCCTGAATGAGGGAGTTTGCCGGACCAAGGGAGGTCAATTCTATCCATCTGCTGATGGGACTCTGGGCTCTCCCAGCGTCCGTCACCAGACCTAATGGAGCTCCCTTGTCCCCAGGCCACCAGCTCCGTTGGCCAGTCCTTGTTGCCACAGCTCCGATGCACAGGGACTGCTGGGACTCCACTGTCCCAGGGCTGCCGTGGCTCTCAGGCACCAACACTGCCACAGCTCCGGGGTGCCAGGTCTGCTATGGTTCTGGGGCTTTGCTCCCTAGGGCTGCTGCACTCCATAATCCCAGGGCCACTGCCAGGGTTTGGGATATCAGGGCTGCTGCGGCAGCCATGGCTCCATGCCTTGGGGCTGCTAGGGCTTCCACAGCTTCACTACCCTGGAGCCACTGGAACTGCTGAGGATCTGCTGCTCTGGAGCCACTGGGGCGCTGCTCTTCGGGGCCGCAAGAGCAGCCACGGCTTTGCTATCCCAGGGCTACTGCAGCTAACCTCATGGCCACCCAGCCCTCTGATTCAGGGGCTCTGGTCCAGCACTATCCAGAGAGTCCTGGACAAGAGAGGGTAAACCTGTATTTTGAAATAGTGATAGTGTAGATGCTCCACTGCTGCTATTTCAAAATAACTATTTTGAAATAAGTGTTATTCCTCATGGAAGGCAGGAGTTATTATGTCAAAGTAACCAGTCCCTTATTTCAAAATAACGGGTTTGGTAGTGTGGATGCCATGCTTGCATTTTGAAGTAAGGGTGTAGATCAGAGCACAGGACTACTTGTTTTTAAAATTACATACTAACTTTATCCCTCTGAAACTTTTTAGAAGAAGTATTTTAGCCATTTGTCCTTAACATGGATCAAGTTTTTTAAAATATATGTGCCCTAATGCTCATGCCATATCTTACCACTGCAGTGAATCTAAGGTGCTGCAGGACTATTTGTTGTTTAAATTTTGTCTCCCTAGTGTGTTCAGAAAATCAGCTTAATTGAACAGGCTCCAGCAGTAAGAAGGGTCTGTGGCAGTAGCTGCACTGAGTAGGGAATTCCTAGTAAATCAGAATATTACCCTCATTCTGAGAAGACAAGGTGATAAATTGATAATGCAGGAAAGCCCAATGTGGAAGTGGGTACCTGCCACTGCACTTCTATCTAGAAAACAATGGAAAAGGGAGCCTCTTTCGGGAGGAGGGGGATAGCTCAGTGGTTTGAGCATTGGCCTGCTAAATCCAGGATTGTGAGTTCAATCTTTGAGGGGGCCATTTAGGGATCTGGGGTGAATCCGTCAGGGATGGTATAGGTGTATCCACAGCAGGTGTTAAACAAGGAGATGCATGAAATGGGGCCAGCCCTATTCAAGTGGATAACCACGTTAATAATTCCTAGCACATTAGGCACTGTATAGATGTTAACTAATTGCTGCTAACAACACTTCTGCAAAGTAGCATCCAGTGCATAAATAATGAAAATGAGATTTGTTTATAGGATCTGTTCTGGGTTTTGATGGTGTGTGGAACTAGTTACAGGGGTGCTCTGGAGGAATACATGGTGCTGTTGGACTTGGGAGTTCTCTTCCTCTCCCCACCCTACTCATGCAGTTCTAAGCTGTCCCTTTGGGGGGCAGGAAACGGGGGAACAACTCACCAGAGCATCAAAATCCTTGTTCTCCTCGCTGGCATAGAGGCCTGGGAAGGGTCTCAGGACTGAATCGCGCTTGTAGCTCTGTAAAGCAGAGACGAAGAGGCTGCACTTCAGGTCCGCGGCCAAGATGTCCCTCCTGGTGGTCTCTGTGATCTTCTCCCTGAGGGCAGCCTGGCTGGGGGGCAGCATTGCCACCAGGGTCTGGCCAGAAAACACAGGGCAGCAGCTCAGCAAGTGTTAGAGCCCTTTTCTAACACTCAGTCCGGGGGCGCTGCCACAGCCCCAAACCCTGCCCCTGC